TTAGACACCATATTACTCCCACTTATAATAGTGTCCAACGTATTTATGAGGATTGGCATATAGCTACGGTATATAACAGTGAACCATTTGAATTTTTGTCCAAATTGTGTGATCGATTTAGATTTTTTAAGGTTTAAGGAATTTGAAGTCTTTTTAAAAATTAACTCTGGTTTCCGGTCAGGAATTTCGGATAAATCTTTCGCCTTTTACTTTACCATCTGTACTTTTTGTATTTCTTATGAAACAATTTACCGCACTCATTGCAGAATTGAGACTCTCATCTTTATCTCTGAATAATAATAATAATAATAATAATAATGATGAAATCTCAGGATGTTCTGTACTTGCGGCAAATGAATATAAAACTCGTCCCGATAGAGTGGGGCAACATTTACTGTAGACAATGTGCAAACACTTCGGAAAAGATGCTAATAAACACTTGTATGAACATCACCCGTCACCGGTTACAGAAATAGAAGACATCACAATTCATTGGGATTACACCATCTTTAAAGACTGGAAGATTGAAGCAAATAGGCCGGGCATAATTGTTAAAAAGCGAAAATAAAAATAAATAAATAAAAAAAAACTTGCCAATTAATTGATATGGCTTGCCCAGCGGACTATAACACAATAACCAATTTGAAAAACTATAGAAGTATAAGGACCTGGAAACACAAATAGAAAAAAATGTGGAAATTGAAAACAAGAATAATACCAGTCATAGTAGGTGCACTTGGAATGATAAAAAAGGAACACAATAACACATTGAAAAAATCCCTGAAAATCTTGGAATAAGAGAAATACAAACAGATACTCGATAAGTACAGCCCACACAATAAGAAGAACTTTGTCCATGTAACGCACCCCTATCTACCTTAGATCATCCTGAGAACTTGGTAGGTAGCGTGACCATAGCAGAAATTGAAATATAATAATAATAATAATAATAATAATAATAATAATCTTAGTGATGTTATGCTCTTTTTATTTATTTATGTTTTTTTATAAAACTGATGAGTGGAAAACGTCATGATGTCATTTTTGACCTTTTGGTCTTTGGTTGTGACCCAGAAGGTAATGTGTATACAATAGAAATAAAAGGAAATAATAATAATTATTATTTCCTTTTAATAATAATAATAATAATAATAATAATAATAATTCATGTTCTTGAGTTAGCACGTAAATTACGCCCTGTCAATGTCTAATAAATAATGAATTATTCCTTTTTGATTGCGAGGAAAGACGGAAAAGACATATCAGAGACGCTGTTTGGTATCGAAGAAAGACACAAAGGAAGAAAGAAAGACAGGAAGAAAGGCAGAAAAGGAGAAACAAATAAAGAAAAAAGAAAGAAAGAATGAAAGAAAGAAAGAAAAAAGAAAGAAAGAAGGAAAGAAAAGAAAAGAAAAAAAAGAAAGAAAGAAAGAAAGAAAGAAAGAAAGAAAGAAAGAAAAAGGATGTATTAACGCTGTTGTAAGTTTGACGTCTGCTTTAGTGAAATGGAAAAAAAAAACTTGTCAGTTTAAAATCTTTCCATTTGTACGTTTTTACTACTTTAAATAATTCATATTTATGGTTCTTATTATAAGTTTTTGTTAAGCTCAGATATTTAACAATACAATAGTGGAATTTCCACGGGTATTTTATAGTAGTAGAACACGCAATAATAATAATAATAATAATAATAATAATAATAATAATAATGTTTTTGTTGTTGCCGTTGTCAAAATGAATAATAGAATAATAAATCGAAATAGTCTTAAAGATAATAATTCTTTTTATAGAGCTTTAAGACGATAAAATATTTGGTAATACTAAATATCTATCCTTATAACATTATGTTAATAATAGATTCTGTCAGATTGTGGATTTTGCTGCCCAAATAGATCAGAGAATGACGATAGATCTCCCTCCATAAAAAAAAACAAAGAACATATGAACTGGATAAACAGTAGAACTTGAGGTTTCGTTGTGTGCCCATAAATGATGAAATGAAAACTTTATCTAGAACATCAGAGGACAGATTTGAGACGGTGTTTATTTAAAATTAGAATAAGACTGTTCAGATCACGACAAGGTTGGGCATAATAAGAAAACTGAAGTAGGGGCTGGAGATATGAGAGGACGATATTCATTGTTGATAAGTAAGAGGCATCCGATGGGAACATAAAACTGCATTACATAATAATAATAATAATGATAATAATATACCTAGAAGATGATGACTATGCATGGCGCTTTGCACCCTAATGTAAACGTGAACAGATTGTATATAATGAGGAATGATGGAGGTAAAAGCCTTAGAAGTGTTTCAGAGCAGAGAACATTTAAAGAGTAACTAGCAAACCGTGATACCTTTATCTGTATTTGTGCAGAAGATATCATTGGCAAGGAGGAATTTCAATAGAAAGTCAGAGAAAAAGATAAAGGAAGATTTTCTAGGAATGAGATTGTATGACCAATTTGAGGGAGATGAAAGATGTGTGAGGAACAAAGCCGTATCGCTGATATGGCTGAGACGTGGTGACTTGAAATGTGCAACTAAAAGCTTGATAATTGCAGCTCAAGGCCAAACCATTGATATAAATGCCATAAAATACCATATACACAAAACATCAATCACTCCAAAGCAACTGATCAGTAGTTGCTAAAATGCTAGTTAAAAAAGAATATAAGCGGCGCCATGATAAGGTATGCTTTTATGTATAGTGGCTGTTGTGCCGAAAGTACAGATACCAAGTTGCAAAAAATTTGTACGAACTTATACCTTCTAGAACAATTGAAGAAGTTGGAAAGCGTACAATATTCTCGGATTATGATTTCCAGACAGAGTGATACACCATCGCCGTCCGAATATTATTGTGCAACATAAACATCCAAAGAACTGTCATCTTATTGATGTCGCCATATCAAATGAGACAAATATAGCAAGCAAGTTGATTGAAAAAATTACAATCTACTCTAATTTGAAAGTTGAGATGCTAAGATTGTTTGAAATGCAAGAAGGAAATGTCAAGGTAATTCCATTGGTGATTAGCGCACTAGGATCAATTGCATTAAGACTAATTTCGCCAGCTGGGAATACCGTATCAACTTGGAGTTACACCCAAGATCTGCTCTTTTGGGAACTGCGCATATTTTGAGGAAAATGTTGTTTGCCTGAGATCCTTGTTGTGACTTGACAAGATAACTTAATGTACCCGGGGTATTCAAAAACTTACACTGTGTGACAAAACAAATATGATAATATAAATAATAAACAATTTAAAGTAAAGTAGATAAAAAAGATAATAGACGCACACTTGGGTTTCAAAGAAACGGGGTGGTTGGAATAAAATAAGAAAAAGTGTGAGAGGAAGTTTTTCATGAATAATTAATAAAAGGGTTAATTGGAATAAGGATGTTACGGTTGAATTATTTCCCAAAAGACTATTCGATTCAGCGTCTAATTGAGACTGAAATATCTCTCTCTCTCTCTCTCTCTCTCTGTCTGTCTGTCTGTCTCTCTCTCTCTCTATATATATATATATATATATATATATATATAATGTCTACTGGATTATCTCTTTCTCTCGCTCTACTTGATTTTTTTCAATTTTTTGGGCTTTTCCGTTCCTATTTCCTACTCTTTCTCTTTTTTAATGGATTCTGCCATATTGTCTTTTTCTTTCTTTCTCTCACTCACTCAATCTATCTATCTATCTATCTATCTATCTATCTATCTATCTCTCTCTCTCTCTCTCTCTCTCTCTATATATATATATATATATATATATATATATATATATATAGAGAGAAAACAGACAAACAAAAAGTAAGGAATAAAATATTGCATTTTCAATAGTATAGATAAAATGAATCTTAAATAAACTAATATATATATATGTGTGTGTGTGTGTTGCCAGAAGAAGAAAAGTCGAAATAAATTATACATACATATGGGAGAGAGAGAGAGAGAGAGAGAGAGAGAGGGAGAGAGAGAGAGAGACAGACAGAGACAGAGACAGAGACAGAGACAGCAAGAGAGAGACAAATAGTCAGAGAAAACTGTCGTTAAAGTGATTGAGAAAATAACAAGAAAAAAAAAAAGATCCCCCCACAAAAAAAATCTGATAGACAGACAGACATATAGATAGATCTAAGGAAGTCTTACATGGTGGTGGTTAGGATCGTGTCTTGGTAAGCTATGAATGACCGGCATATTAATAACAATATCTCGCCAACTACTGTGACGGCATTGTTAGTAGTGTCTGCCATATGAAATATTCTGGCCGTAACACCGCCGGCCCTGCTCGATCACAGCTGGCCAAGACAACATTCACATGATATGTTTCTGCCAACTGAATCGGATTATCTTGCTGATTGCTACAGAATAAACGGCCCAGTCAACCATATTCAAACGTTATACCCTTCGGTTGCTATTATTCTCCATGTTGAACGATGACGCTAGGTCTTGGCTTTTCTAGTTTTCCCTCTTTCAGTTTGATTTTGTGCAAAATCTCCTCTCACCCCAACGCTTCATCTGATGGAGCTAGCGTTATCTTCGAATCGTTCTTCACTATTTCTTTTTATTTTTCCGTTTTTTTTTGTAAAGCACTGTGCATTTCTTTCTTTCTTTCTTTCTTTCTTTCTTTCTTTCTTTCTTTCTTCATAATGTCCATTTAATTTTCTTGGCATTTTTTGTCTCTTTACTTCCTGCTCCCTCTCAATATTTTTGTATTGAACTCCTATTTTCCTTCCTTCCTTCCTTCCTTCCTTCCTTCCTTCCTTCCTTCCTTCCTTCCTTCTTTTTTTCGTGCCGTTCTCATATCTATTGGATTTTCTTATCAATTTTTCGGTCCTTTTATATGTCTTTATTTCCTACTCTTTCTTTATAATTAAAAAAACAATTCTCTCATATTCTCTTTTCTAAACTTTCCTCCCTCCATTTATATTTACCTTCCTTTCTTTCTTTCTTTCTTTCTTTCTTTCTTTCTTTCTTTCTTTTTTTTATAATGTTTACTGGATTTTTTGTCTATTTTTCGGTCTTATTTTCCGGCTCTCTCTCTTTCTCTTTCTCACTCTCTTTATGTTTTTGTATTGGTTTCTGCCATATTCTCTTTCTTTCTTTCTTTCTTTCTTTCTTTCTTTCTTTCTTTCTTTCTTTTATAATGTCTACTAGATTTTTTGTCAATTTTCGGATTTCTTTTCCGTTTTTATTTCTTGCTCACTTTCTGTTTAATGCTTTTGTAATGGATTCTGCCATATCCACTTTTCTTTCTTTCTTTCTTTCTTTCTTTCTTTCTTTCTTTCTTTCTTTCTTTCTTTCTTTCTCTAATAGATTTACAACGAAACCCTTTGTCTATCATGCTCTCACGTTAACCTCTATGTTTCGAAATCGCCATAACGTCAAACCTACAGCACCATTGTTGCAGCCAAAAACATTATTAGACACTGGACATTAAATCTTTCTATAGTAGAACAAACTATTCAACGACGATAACACACTAGCGCAGCATCCGCTATTGTTATCTCTGCTCTTCCGCTATATTAGACCAAATATACAGTTATATTCTCTTATTGTTTGCCCCAAGCAGACGGTTTCCCCAAGTTATGTATACAAAAAATATCATGTCAGTTTTCCATATGTATTAAAGCGTGTTTCAAAATCTTTCTTACCTGTAAACATCAACGGTAATACACTAAAACCATTCTTTTATGAAAACACATCTGTTTTTCTTTTTTTTTTTTCTCTCCTCTCTCTTCATTTATGTGTACGTTTGTTGTAAGATTTCCCGATGGGCAAGTCGAGTGAAAAGAGGAGAAGCAAGTGTTTTTGATGTGTGCATTGCTGGTTGATTTATTTGTTGTTAAAGCGTTGTTTGTTTTCCTCAATCCTCTTCAGGCCGATGCTGTTATTCAGATTTTGGTTACAGCAAAAGTCACATATTCTCTCTCTCTTGTTCATGCTTCGCCTAACTCTGCTAGCGTCCCGACTACATTAACGGAAGAGGATTGTCATGAAATGATTTAATTTTTCTTGCCTTCGTTGTTCCACCCTTTAGAACGGTTTGTTGGAGATATTTTATTACGATATCGCATCATAATACAAAAGATGTCCACTTGTATCAAATTGTGTAAAGGAGTATACGCTCTTTTTCCCTCTTCATCCATGATTCATAGGACTTTAGATTATCAGGAAACGTACGGAGAAAATATCAAAAATATAGGAATGTAGGGAAAATAAATAACAGAAGGAAAGATAAAAGCAAAATTAACGTATAACTATTACCATCATTTGTCATCAATATAGTCCCCTCGGTGTAGGCTAGTGTTGAGCGCGATAGACTGGTTGACCATTGCAGTATGATCCACACTAGGTGCCACATACTTGTGGTTTATCGCTATATCACGTTGAAACACCGAGATACTAAATCTTTACTTTTTTTTCTCCGTATTCCACACTGATTGAAACACTGGTTCTTTTACGATCACCGAAATTAAGCAACGTCAAGCCTGGTTAGTACTTTGATGGGTGACCGCTTAGGAATACCAGGTGCTGTAAGTTTGTATGTGCGGGGGTTGGGGGTGTAATGGATAATGTCTTGGAATTGTTAATCAGTGAGCCGAGTTCTAATTCCAGAAGGATTCGTTATATTCCCTTACGCGTAAATACCATTGGGAAAGATATGAATCCACCCTTTCTCTCCCCAGCTATGGGTTAATTAGTAAGACTTTACCACTAAATGATTATTATCTACAACAAAAGAATTCTTACAATCTAAAAATATTTTCTGACATTTAATAAGCTGCAAAAAGATGATAAACCGTAAAAAACTAGGGACCTCCACAAAAAACGCGGTACCTACGGTTTAAAATGAATTTAAAAAAAATAAAAAACAAAAATTCTTGAAGCTTTTCTTTTAGTTTTAATTTCAAGCTAATAGATTAAACTTAATATTTCCAATAGGCAAAAATTAATTTAAATTGACACAAAGAAGTTTTTTTTTTCTAAATTTGATTAGCGCTCTTGTTTAGTTGTTTTTTCAATCGCAATGCAATTCTCTTTATTAAAAAAATCTTGCAAAAATAAAATATAGTTTTCTGAAATTTTATTTGAATAATAATAACTGATTTAAAGTAAAATTAATCTGATTTGAAACAAGTTCAAAATATCGCAGAAATGCATTTTTTAACCATAGAGTATCTGCGTTTTTAAAGCCTCGTCCAGGTTCCTCTCTTCCGAGGCATAGACTTCGGCAGTTACGAACAGTCTGGTCGACTGTTAAATTTAACAGCTCCCTCCCACGAGGGATGTATGTGGCACAAGGCCGAGATTACCGTGGGTTTTCCGACTCCGTAGTCTCGGCCAAAAATATTCCCTTAGAAGCCGCCTAAACGGTTTAAGGGCCCCGGACGAAACTTTGCCCTGCGGCAAAGCCTTGTCCAGGTTCCTAACTGCTCAAGGTAGAGAGTTCGACAGATGAACAGTCTGGTCGACTGTTAATATTTAACAGCCCCTCCCCCGCGAGAGTGTATGTGTCACAAGGTCGGTTTATTATGGGTACTCCGAGCTCGTAGGCTCGACCAAAAATATTCCGTTTGAACTAGCCTAAACGGGTTCAGGGTCTGTCTACCTCCCCGGACGAAACTTTGCCCGGCGACAAAGCCTCGTCCGGGTCCCTCTCTCCCGAGACAGAGAGTTCGACTCTTACGAACAGTCTGGTCGACTGTTCTATTTAACGGCGACGTGGGTCGCATGTGGCACAAGGCCGGGTTTATCGTGGGGTTTCCGAGCCCGTGGACTCGGCCAAAAATATTCCCTTTGAACCCGTATAAACGGGTTCAGGGCCTGTCTACCTCAATGCAGAGAGTTCGACAGTTACGAACAATCTGGTCGACTGTTTTATTTAACAGCACCCCCACGAGGGATGTATGTGGCACAAGGCCGAGTTTACCGTGGGTTCTCCGAGCATGTAGGATCGGCTAAAAGTATTCCCTTTGAACCCGCCTAAACGGGTTCGGGGTTTTGTCTACCTCCCCGGACGAAACTTTGCCCTTCGGCAAAGTCTCGTCCGAGTTCCTCTCTGCCGAGGCAGAGAGCTCGACAGTTACGGACAGTCTGGTCGACTGTTCCCTGAAGCCTTCTATCCAACTAATCTTATAGTAGGCGGAAGAGTCTAACATAGACTCTTAAGAGTGAGGACACCACAACAGAAACAGATTCAAAATGATAAAAGGGATGCGGACACATAGTGTCTTAGTGTAGAATTCCAGTAGTTTTATAGAGAGCCATGATCGCCTAGGTCCCGAGGAGACACAGCACATAAAGAATAAGTAGGGAGCGTATAAATACCGTAATGATTCTTTGTGCGAGAATAGTTAAAGAACAAGTGGTAGTTTCCTTACCCCTAAGGTGTCACTTGATAGCAGACTTGTAGAAATGACAAAAAAAAAAAATGTATGTATCAGTCAGACCGTTAAATGTCCTATGTGATACACGCTTGGGTGGTATGTTTCTTTCGACTTATGACTGGCTAGGCAGAAGATTTTTCTCGCAGTATCTTGTCCTTTCTTTCTGCGGTAGACTGGTTGCCAACCAAGGCTATAAGACCCAGTCTGTCCTGCTAATCAAGGTATTTGCGCATAAGTAGCGAACTTGACTGGAATGCGAACTCGGCTCTCCAATTTATCATACAGAGCCAATATCCATTAAACCACAACGCATATATATATATATATATATATATATATATATATATATATATATATATGTGTGTGTGTGTGTGTGTGTGTGTATGTGTGTGTGTGATAAATGTATGTAAATCTGAAATACGTATGTATGTATATATGTGATAAATATATATATACATGAGATACGTATGTATGTATATATGTGATAACATATGTACATATGAGATACGTATGTATATATGTGATAAATGTATGTATATAGGAGATACGTATGTATATATGTGGTAAATATATGTATATATGATGATGTATATGTGTGTATATGATAAATGTATATATATATATATATATATATATATGTGTGATACATATCCATGTATATATGTGACAAATGCCTATTTTTATATTTTTATGGAACATTAAAAAATATTCTCCTAATTTTAACCCTATTACTACTGCTAGTATGTTACTACCAAATAGCAAAGTCTCTAAGCTTGGGAACTCGGTGACTGGTGCACTGAGTACTTTGCTTAATTTATGGAAGGCCAATATCGCTATTTCTCTGCGTCCACGGATTCCTATGTTCCACTTTCTGTTGTATTTTACTGCACAATATAGATCCTTAAACTTCTGTAACTGCGTGATCTTAACGTCTCCGATGGGTGACTTGCATCTTGTGTTGTTCTTTGTTTTGTTAACCAAGCTTTCTTTCTTCTTATAGTTAATAGTTCGTCATTTTTTCTCGCTTCTTTTATTTTTTTTTTATTAAAGAGTTCTTTCCGCTTTCCATCTGCCATCAACATCGTTTCATCCGCGTATCTTACGCTTGTCAATAATAAATGAGGAAAAAGGCTTGGAGAAATTAACACTCACAACACAAGAAATGAAGAGAAAATATCATTGAGTAAGCTTCCTAACTATTTTGCGTGAATAAATGGCAGAACCAAGAAAAGAGAGATGGTAAAATATAAAAAGTTAGACCAACAAAATTCAGAAAGTTGTGGAGAGCCATAGCCAGATGTCGTGTTTAGGGTAAGACGCATAAATGAGATATGTACTAATAGATTGTTTGATTGATTTGTTAACCCTTTTCAGGTTATTTCAGGCCAGAAATTATTTTTAGATTGTATGAATTTTTCCTTTGTTTTCTGAGATAATTAACCCGTAGCTAGGGGCAGAAAAGGTGGATTCATACTTTTTGCGTGTATGTGAATATAACGAACCCGACTGGAATTAGAACTCTACGCTTAACAATTTCGAGCCAGTATCCATTACACCATCAGCACATCCAAACTTACAGCAGGTGATATTCCCAAGAGGTCACCCATCTAGGTACTGACGAACTTCTGTTTTGCTTAACTTCGATGATCGTACAGGAACCGGTATTTCAACGTGATGTGGTCATAAGCTGCACCAATAGAGGATGGTGTAGATTAATTTTCAAAAATTGTTGTAAAATTATCAAAATGGTACCTCGAATGAGAGTCGCCTAAAGATACGTAATAGAATAAAAGATTAATCAGGTAAATTCAAAAATATACATCGATCAGGCGGAGAGGCAGAGTATAATAAATTTTAAAGAATAACTGGTGGTTATGAGTTTTAAAATTCCCGAGGAAGAAAAGCAGGTGTGACAGGAAAGGAATGTGAACAATATACCCCGTGAATGAAACAGAGAGTTCAATTCGAAATATTCCGAAAGTTACGATAATCGAAACGTTGTAATAAAGATATCAAAGGTGAGGAGAATTAGTTCAAAACAATCATTGTACAACATCAATAATCCCTCGCCTGAGAATGCCGGGCGAAAATTACTAGAATATTTACACAAATAAATCAAGCAAATTCTTTGCCAGTGCTACACAATGGTCGTCCTCACGTTGCCTGAAGACGATTGAAGATTTCCGATCGAAATAATATTGGAATTTACGAAGTGTAATCCAAGCAATTATCTTAGCAAATCGACTGTCTTAACGTGCTTTAGCATTCACTAAATAGCTTAATCTAAATAATCATTCACAATGTTCACAATTCAGTATTCACTACACAACTCTCGGCTATATGTCATTCGCAATTATTAATATAATGCTGCATTAAAATTAGCCATACATACACACCTCTCATGGCGGCGCCGTGTTTGTGATTTGATTAGGTTTTCGATCAGCTTATTTCTGCTATTCATGAGCTTCATCACTTTAGACCGTCCGAATTATATATATATATATATATATATATATATATATATATATATATATTTGTGTGTGTGTGTGTGTAAGAATATACGATTTGTAAATTAATTTTGTTTACCAAGGATAGAAGGTAAAAATCCATGAGTATATGAGTATAGATTTATAAAAGCGATATATCTATCTATCTATCTATCTATCTATCTATCTATCTTAGTTTGTTTCTATCTATCTATCTATCTATCTATCTATCTATCTATCTATCTATCTATCTATCTATCTTAGTTTGTTTCTATATATCTATCTATCTTAGTTTGTTTCTATCTATCTATCTAGCTGATGTGAACAAGAAAAAATTAAGTTTACCTAATCGTAAACAATTTTCTTCCAGCAGAACCAGAGATGAAAAAAAAAAAAAAAAGAGAAAGAAACAAAGATGCTTTAAACCACGAAATCTTACTGATTATTTTCTCATATACAATGAAGTGATGGTTAACAAGCTGGTATAACAAAAGCCGTTGATAGACTTTTTTTGATGGCCTACGTTCTAAGCCTTTTGCAAAAGTAAGTTAAGCCCCATTAAATTTCCATAATAGAATTTTTCATAGCACAGATCATCAGTAATTCGACACTGAGCATTGATTTAATTCGTTCAACCAAAATTATCAACATATCAAGAAAATTATAGGATTTTTGGCTAGCTGTCTATATTTCTGGAATGGGTTATCGTAACGATTTACAATGTTTATATCATTCGGACTGTTGACCTCATCTTTATTCTCAAATTCACGACGTTTCGGCCATTGTACGTTCCGGTTTTCGTCAGATGATATACGTTGGAATTTCGAACCGAACCCATTTAATTAGTCCACAGAGGTAGATTGTTCTAATTCCACATGCCTTGTCTTTTTTTTTTTCTCAATTTCAGTTAATTGCTTTTAGTAACTCAACTCTCCAACTTTTCCATTTACTATCCAGCCTCCAGTCCATATTCTGTTATGTATTTAAACAATTTTAACAAACTGATGAAACAGTGGTTGTAAGTTCAATCTCAGGATCAGGCAGTGTGCACTTGCACACAGTTGAAGCTGAAAAAATAACTGAACAGTGCTAGATAAAATAAGAACTTGATGATATCCCTAGACATCAGCAATGGTATGAGAACAGTATACCCCTGTATATTAAATAAAGGGTTCAGTTCTGAAGTGCATGTAGGTTACCCAGATGGAATATACACCTGAGGGAGGCCGTAGAGTAAAACAACCGAAACGTGATAAAAATGAGGACAATAACTGCCTATATTTCTGAGATGAGGTATTGTAACTATTTACACTATTTACATTGTTCGGAATGTTGTCCTCATCTTTATTGCCATATTCAAGACGTTTCGGCAGTCGTGCCTTCCGGCCTCTTCTTCTTCAGGTGATATAAGTTGGAAATTCCAATCGAACACTTTATTTAGTCCAAAGGGGTAGATTGATCTAATTCCATGTGCCATGCCTCTTTTCTTATTATCTCCGTTTCAGTTAATTCGGTTTAGTAATTCAACACTCGAAGTTTTTGTTCCCTCTACTGTGGCCAGGTATTGAATTCGCAACTCTTTCAGTCAGTTATGTGCCTTCTTTCGATACATAACTGACGAGGCAGATTTTTTTTCCCGAAGTAGGTTGCCATTTCTTTCTGTGGTAAACTAGATGCTATCCAAGACGAGAGAACCTGGTCTGTCCTGCTATTTACCCATAGCTGGGGGTGAGAAGAGGAGGATTCATACCTTTCCCAAGGGTATTAGCACGTAAGTGAATGTAATGGATACGACTAGAATTCGAACTCGGCTCTCCGATTCCTCAATCCTCCATTGTGCCTACTGCATAACTCTTTCTTAAAGGAAATTGAGATATCCAAAAAGGCATGGAATTTGAGTGATCTACGTAGACTAAATAAAGGGTTCAGCTCGAAATTCCAACTTATATAATCTGAAGAAGGCCGGAGTGCAAAACGGCCGAAACGTTATGAATATGGCAATAAAGATGAGGACAGTAGTCTGAACGATGTAAACAGTGTAAATATCTTGGATATATTTTCCAAAATCAAAGTACCTATAATTATAAGCGATCTATTTATCAATAATAATACGTTGAAACACCAGTTCTCGTAAAATCATAGAAGTTAAACAACGCCGAGCGTGGTCAGTACCTAAATGAGTGACTGCTTAGGAATACCAGTTCCAATTCCAGTTGGGTTCATTATATTCATTTGCGCACAAATACTCCTGAGAAAGTTATAAATTCACTTTTTCTCCTCTCAGCTATGGATTAATTAATAACACTTATACGAGAAATCATTATTATCCCCGCAAAATTATTAGGTTGGTGCAAAAATAATGTCGTTTTTGACGTTCAACTTAACGTCAAAAAACGAAATTATTTTTGCACCAACCTAATACAATCTAAAAATATTTTATGGCTTTAAATGAGCTGCAAAAGGTTGGTAAGCCGTAAAAAATAGATCAATCAATTTAGTTTTATTTTCTTCAATAAAAATTGTACTGCAATTTTTTTAAATACAAGTTAATATATCAGCACAAATTTTGAATGAAAGTTACTATGTATATATATATATATATATATATATATACTTTATTATGAGATATTACATTCAAACATGTAACCACTACACAAATGCATTCACGTTTCGATGCATCAAAACCCGAATGCTTTTATGTAGCGGTTACATATTTCATGCTGAACAAAATCATCAAGCCTGACGATTGCGTTTAGCATGAAATAGAATGTCGCTTACGGATGTTGACTTTAATGTCCACTTTTAGATTTAGATACGCCCTATCCCTGATATTGTGCACTTTAACCCATAAATATAGCATACCTTAAAACTATATGTTATCATATATATATATATATATATATATATATATATATATATATATATATATATATATATATGTGTGTGTGTGTGTGTGTGTATGTATATATATATATATATTATCATTAAGAAACAACTTGTATACTGTCAATAAATAGCATAATTTAAAAAAACATCATTCCGTCTACACATATTTCGTCTTGGTGTATTGGAAAACTGCGAAGATGACAATTTTAAATTGTCGAAAGTTCTTGGCATGTCACTTCCATCTGACAACAGCTCAAATATAAGGAACGTATTATTCAAGGGACTGATAGTAAGTTAATGTCTCATTAAATGTTGTTAGCGAAGTGATTTCGCCATTAATGACACTAACATTGCTAATTAATTCTTTGTATAAGTTGTTTCTTTATGATATAAAATATAAGCCGCACACTCTAATATATATATATACATATATATATATATATATGTGTGTGTGTGTGTGTGTGTGTGTGTGTGTGTTTTATCAGATAGATTAAATTTGCAAGTTATTGTACATAAATATCCATATCTGCAAAATCATTAGCCATTTAAAATGACCTCATCTGTCACAACACTGTTTTTATATGACAAATGATTCATTGATTTCAATTTAGCCATGTAACAGATGCAGAAATAATAAATGCACAAAGATATCTAAGTTTATGATGAGATTTAATAAATCTATTAATAGTTTATATTATAAAACAATTACCAATAATTTATGATTTAGATTAGTCATTTCTATAATAATCGTATAATGTTAATTTATAATACAATTCTGAAGAACTTCTTATGATATATTATAAATGTATAAACTTATAATGATTCATAAGAAGTAATTTATAGAAAGTAATATAAATCAGAATCAAAAACATGGTGAAGAAAGAGTACCATAATAATTTAATACTCACATAGTATACTGAAGATAAGTGAAGCAGGGTGAAACTACGAGTAACCTACTTAACGAGTTTGTATGAATGAACAAATAGTGACAGTAAAGAGTCAAAAGTTACTACTTCTATGTGCAGTGTCCATTCAGGACATACGCGATCATGGTTCTCCGTGACTTCCTATCACTTGTGGCTTTTTGTTTTATTCCACTGCTAAGGCTCCCGCCTCCTGTTCCGCCATCTGTTTATACAAGCTCATTAGGTAGGTGGTTCAATACCTTCCGCTATCTCACTAGTCCTCATTATGCTCTTTCTTCATTTAGCGTCCAAGTAATTTCAACTGTCTCTTCCTGTTTCTCAGCATAAGTCTTTCAGGTGCCCTTTTCTTTAAGACTACTTTATTGTTTACTTATTTCGTCCATAGAAATCTCAGTATCCTTCTGTAGAAACAAATTTCTGTCGTCGTTTTCTCCTCATCAGCACCATCTGTCTTATGCGTATCGCATAGCAATCTCACATTCTTTTTGTTTTTGACGAAGTTTTTTCAGTATTTTGCAAGGCTTTTGGAATACTTCTTTCGCTAGTCCAATGCGTTTTCGGATGTTTTTTTTTTAAGCATTTCACCCCAAGCAAGGCGGGAGTGCCACTAGCATGCAAAGGGTTACAGAGGGTGGGAGAAAGAGTAAAGAGGCGTGTTTGGGTGAGAGGATAAAGAGAAGGACGGGGAACAAGATCAAGGTATCAGAAGATGTCGATTGACATTACACTTGAAAATTCGAAGATTATAGTAGCTCGCTTAAATTCATGCGGTCTGGGAACCAGCGAAAATAACTCGTCGGAACAGTTGCCATGAAAATACTTACAGAAGAGACAGGGGAAAAGCCACGGCGCGTCTGTGAGAAAGTGACTGTAGACGAGATGCCAGATCAGGACCTATCACATTGCATATTCGTCTCTGCATTTTGTCGAGGACCTCGAGACTTACAGCGGAGGCACCAGAGCATATATGACAGCAATATTCCATGCAAGGACGGATGATTGATTATAGATTTGAAGGAGAAAAACTTTCCTGGCACGACACAGAGAGCCAACTTTCCTTGCAATAGATCAAGCTACTGAGTCTATGTATTTGTTACACCTCATATCGCTTTTTTCCATCCTCTGTTAAAACATTTCCCAGATATTTAAAATTCGGCACCTGCTTGTTGTTAACATTTCCTGTTTGCAACTCGGATTTTGGAGTTTTTCTCTTGCTGATGACCAGACTTTCTGTCTTCTTGCATTTGATAGTTAGTCCTTTCTTCTCGCTTTCTTCTATTACACTGTCTAAGAGGTCCTGCTGTGTCTTATATTGTTAAGGTTACGTTTGTTGCTGCTTCGTTGCTGTTCCTCTTTTCCGGTGCCGATCTTTCTTCAATGTTTAGTTTTTCCGTATTTTCAAGCAAATGTTTCTCTCGCAACGTGAAAAAGTTCTCTGACGTATTCGCTCTACGTTTGGAGTATTTGTTTTATATTTTCTATTATCAGTGATCCGCCCTTCGAATTTATGGAGCCCGTTGGTTGGCTCACCTTTCGTCCTGTTAATTCTTTTATTCTGCCCTGCATACTTGCTGTATCTGTGTTGCTCATCCTCGCTATTTCTGTGCAATTTTCATTAAGTCATTCCTTTTTAACCTGCCTGCATTTGTTTTTAATTTCTGTGTTTAGTGTTCGGTATTATTTTCCATTACTTGGAATTGTTTGTTGTCACTTTTTCATAATCGCTAGAATTTTCTGTGTCATCCACCAGTCCATTTCTTGTTTCGTGTTCTTTGGGATGATCTCATTCACTGATGTTTTATTTCAGCATGTCCCACTTTGATTTTTTTAATTTCGTTCAGGCTGAATTCGTTAATAACTATTTTTGTACATCTCTTTGCAACCTGGGTCTTTCAGGAGTCTGTCGTATTGTAGTTTAGGCGTTGTGTTCGTCTTTTATTTCCGTAATTTTACCCTGATGTAGCACATGAGTGGAAGATGGTCGCTCCCACAGCCGGCACTTGGGTATGCTTTGCAGTGTAGAACAGAATTTCTGAACGTTTTTGTTGATAGTTACGCAATAACTCCTGTTCTTTGTGTCTCCTTCCTGGCTTCTACATACGAACGTCACTTGTCTTGAGAAAAACGGTTGTAGTGGTAATCATCGCGACAAAGCGAATGAAATGCAGCCAGCGTGAATAGAATGCAACTATAACGTAAGTTACATGGTGGGGAGTGTGCTCCTCATGAAAATGTACGTTAGTTGATTAGTTAAGAGGAATTAATGAAACAGTTGATTAGTAAGAGAAATTAATCAAACAGTTAGTTGATTAGTAAGAGAAATTAATCAAACAGTTTAGTATGCGTTCTTTTGTCATTCAGTTAATTCCTCTGGGATGGGGTATTAGTAATTTTCATATATAATTATCTTGCAAAATTAGTAATTTGCACATGTCCATATCTTCATGTGTTTTAAGGGCTGAAAGATGAGTGGATTTTGACTATTTTTTCAGAATGTGTACATTAATAATAATAATAATAATAATAATAATTAAGAACATACCAGTAATTTTTTTACCAAATGTTCAGTCAGTACAAAGCCAAAGAACCACTCAAGAAGAAGTTTACTAAATGAGGTTGCCGTATCAACGTAAGAGGGGCAAGGGTGAAGTGCAGATTATGAGAATACATTAAATAGGTAGCAGTTGACACTAAACTTGTAGAGTTTAACATTGTAGTGTCCAGGAAAGCATCCTCTATGGAATATGTTCCATAAAGTAACAGCTCTTAAGAAGAAGTTGTTCGAATGGATCTTCCTCTTTACCAATGGAATACAAAAGGAATGAGAATGGTTTGCTCCTGCGTACTTGGCATGGAGGATCTTAGCTGTAAATGTCTGAACGGTTGGAACTAAGGGAAGTAACTTATAACATTGTCCATGAAAATAACGATAGATTAACAAGAAGCCTGTGACGTTGCTTCTGTGGAAGAATGGTTGTAGGGAAAGTAATTCATCGCCTACAAGGCCGCGTAAATGATTTTGAACCAATATTAACACTATATATATATATATATATATATATATATATATTAATGCATATTTCGTTAAATAATATAGACAGGTAAATTCCTTTCATATTATCAAATAAGCTTTTTAGTATTATCACTGAAACACGAAAGAAAAAACACCATGTTGATACATGTTTTTATTGTTAAACCTGTTCGTCTTACATAAACCGTCACCAGAGATGACAAGTACATTACCATAAATTAAATAATAAATTAAATAACAAAGATGGCAATTTTCGTTTTAGATTAGTTATGCGGACATTGCAACAATTATAGTTTGTTTTGTTTGCATGGAAGAATCTTTCGTGTTTTAGTGATAATTCTAAAAAGCTTATTCGACAATTTGAAAGGAATTTACTTAAAATAAATAAACAAAACTTGTCTATATTATTTAACGAAACATGCATTAAAAAATGCTGCCTAAATACACACAATTTATATATATATATATATATATATATATATATATATATATATATATATATATACTTATGTATGTATATGAAATTATAGTTATAATTAGACAGCATACGTTACTTTACTACCAAGAAATAATTTGAAGTCAATGTTCAGTCCCTGTGGCTAGCTTTTCATTCTCTTTTTTTACTTTTTAATCATTTCACTCCACGCATGCTAATAAATTCACTAGGACGCAAGAGGTTACTGATTGTTAAAAAATATCAGAAAAATACTATTAAGGAGAAATGACAACAAAAGAATAAGAATTAAGGCAGAAGATAACGATTGACATTGCATTTACATTTTTGAAGATCAAATTCAACTGAGACGCAAGAAGCCGGAAGAGAGTGCGACAAGTGAGAAGTGTGATAGAAGAAACTGTTAGCATAGAACTTACAGTTACATCTAGCCATTTGAACTGTAAAGTGATGGGACCTTACCGCCAATCTAGTATCACACTTAAATTATAAAGTCTATGTAGGTGCAGAGGAGAGTTCATCAGAACAGTGACCATGAAAGTATTTATTGAAAAAAATTATTATGTACTAAAAATTTACTGACATCGACATTTCGTCTCTGCCCATATGGCACTTTAAAACGATACCCCATGACTCCAGTAAAGCTGATAAAGTCCAGTAAGTACATTTCAAAGATGACACAGAATAAACGTGAGTCACTTTCTCACAGACGCGCCGTCGCCTCCTTCTGTCTGTTCTACAAATACTTCCATGGAAATTGCCCCGAGGAGCTGCATTCGCTGGTTCCCAGACGTCACGAGTTCCAGCGCCTCACGAGGCTGGCATCCCGCTCTCACCCCTTCACTGTCAAAACTCCTAATATAGCCGTCTCTTCTACCCTAATAGCTTCATGTCTCGCACCTCTCGCCTGTGGAACTCCCTTCCCTATTCCTGTTTCCCTGTGAGCTATAATCTCCAGCTATTCAAGTGTAATGTCAATCGACATCTCCAGTTGCCTTGATCTATCCACTACCCTCATCCTTTCTTCTATCACTCCTATCTGATCTTGCTCTAAATTTTCTGTAACCTCTTGCGTCCTAGTGGCTTCCCGCCTTGCTTGGGGTGAAATGCTTAAAAAAAAAACTTTCCCCTCCCTCTCCTAAGGGACCAACAAAAGAGACATCTAAATGCACAAAACCGTCGACTATTACTCTCCTCCCGCGTTGGGTTAATATCGGCTTCATTAAACAGATGGAGGAATTCAAGTTGGACCAGGCCAACAGAAACAGATGCAAAGTTTCATTGAACCGTGCGGTCGAAGCCAGTTGATCCATTAGCGGCCAGCGACAGCTATTGATCCTTTGGAGTGTGTGTTTATGCCGAGGTTCGTGCGTAGAAGAATGTGACTCCGGCTCGCACCTCGGTTGGATTGTTGTTAGTTCCCTGAACTAACGACTGGAGAACATATGTTATTTTGTCTTGAAGAAGAAAAAAAAAATGATTGCTCGCATTGTGTTTGCGTGTAAAACAAAGTACATGGGAGATAAATTGTGTCAGTCTTTACGTTTTGTTTATTTACTTATCAGTTTTTCGGCGAGGTGATAGCGTTTAAAAATATTGACGAGTAAAAGAGGGGAGGGTTTAAATAGGCTTTATTTCTTTGTTCAGTCTTTACTTTTCTAAAAAAGATATCGCCTGAGAAATTTTTCTCCAACTGAATTAAGCCAGATGTTGCAGAAGTGTGTTTTTTTATGTTTAATATTCACTTAGTCATCACAGATTTTATGGTGTAAACCAGCGTATCTAAACCTTTTTTACCCTTGTGATACACTTGAAATAGTATTAAGGAACCACTTCATAAAAAATGATTATATACCATTATTAATATCTCTTTTATATTATTTTATGGTAATTCATAATATATGAACACCGTACATACGTCCTGTACTCGAGTGAGTTGCTCAATAATACACGAATCCATCACGTACATGTCCCGTCCCTTAACCATTGAAGGCGGTTCCAACTGATGCCATATAGCAATCGTTATCTATGATCATTATAATTCTATATTTAGAGGTTATTTTCTCGAGGTTGATGGTTTTATTATAATAACAAAGTATTCTCTAAGATATGTCGTACGTCTATAGTAAAATTACGAATATATAATTAAAAATGATCCCAGAATTCATTAGCATTATCACTGTTTCTTGAGGAAATCCCAACCATATATTACGGAATCCTAGGGTTCCGGGGAACACCGGTTGTGGAACACTGGTATAGACTGTGTAAAAATCATTTAATTACTTTATATCTTTGGCGTATTCCTAGTTATTCGAGTAAAAGACAGCCTACCGATGCTATCAGACTCAGATGCAGGACAACTCTATACCTTCAACTCAACACCACCGACTGAGCACCGGGACAACTCAAGACTCAGATAACTCAGGGCCGAGACAACTCAGCACCAGAAAAACAACTTTTTTTTAAATAATCGAATAAAAGTAATTTATTAAGGATTAAAACCTTAATTAGTTTATATTTTTAATTTATTAAAAAATAAATTTCTTAACGATTTACCTTATTAAAATAAATAAAAAATATTCACTAATTAATGTCTTAATCCTCAATGAATTACTTTTATTCGATTATAACTAAGTTATGTTTTTCTCGTGCTGCATTGTCTCGATGCTGAGTTGTCCCAGCGCTCAGTGGGCGGTGTTGAGTCGGTGGTGTTGAGTTGACGGCGTTGAGCAGTCCCTTCCTGTAAAAGACAGTATGCCAATGCTGTCAGACTCGTCATAAGAAATTCGATTTGTTCATACTTAATTTGTAAAAAAATAAATAAGTAAACTCTATATTGAGTATTAAGTAGATCGAATCTATCCTTTTTATTCCCATCCGTCATACATTTCTACTTGGAC